TTCTTCTTGGGGAGACAGTTGAGTCAACACTTGAACACACATCTTTTCAGTGAGAAAACATGACCAGGAATAAACGCCCTTTCTGTGCAGCAGCAGCCAGCTCCTTCTCTGGTTTCCAGGGCACAGTTTATCCAGAGGAGCAACGTTAATGGGCCAAATGATCAAAGACCTTGCATGGGCAAGATACCTGGAGCTTCTCTTGTGCTGAAGCTGCAGCCTTGGTGGGTCCCGTGCCGGCTCTGCGTCACGCCTACCCCTGCTGGCCTCTCCTCTGCGTCACACTTGCCTCTGCTGGCCTCCCCTCCCCCACCTCCCCAGGGCCTGGGTTCTTCCCTTACCAGTCCTATGAAGCAAGCACACAGCTCTTGCCTCAAGCTAATCTGTTCTTGTTGGGTTGCTTCTGGGCTGACCACATGATCAAGTCCCTTACCATGCTATTTCCAGAACAGGAACAAGTGACTTGAAGGATACAGGGTTATTCTGAGATGGCTTAGAAGGCAAGAGGGATCACATCACCTCTCACACCACTGTCCCCCTTTCCAGTCTTCCCCTCTCCTTCCTTCAGAAGGAAAATGATATAACAGGACTCCCATTGAGGAGGAAGAAATAGGGGAGTTCCCAGTTCTTTGGAGGCACTGGTTTGACAGGTACAACTGTTCAGGAGCCTTCCTTCTAGGCTTTCAAAAGCCTACAAAAAGTTTAGCCCCAAAGCACATCTATATCGGGTTTGGGGTGCTTCTACACACAAATTCACACCACTTTTTGTTTTTTTCTTTGTGGGATTTAGCATAGTCGTATAAGAAAATAGGAGAGGCATTTCACAGCAGCCTGGAAGCCAGTTTGGGTAACAGAATACCACAGTGACGTGTGCTAGAGGATGACAATTATTCTCATCAGTTAGGATGTTAAGGAGTTAAATGAGGTTATTTCATAATGTCATATATTGAGTGTGTAACTGTGAATGTCCAAGCTGCCATTTTTAAGTTGTATAGAAACTGGCTATTATGAGTGTTTTCAAATCAAATATGTTTGGGGCCTCTTTTAAAAACTCAGTGGCTAACACAATCCTGCTTTTGAAGTAGGTATTAGCTACACTGTAAATACAGTATTTGCTTAGAAAATATGGTGGTCTGTCAATTTCTAACATTATGTTATCAGAAGAGAAAAAGTATTACATTTAAGCCCTTTTAGATCTACTATAGGTATGACAAATACAACCATTCACTCTGTGCGTATTAAGTCTTTACTTTAAAAGGAATATGTTTTCCATCCCTAAGTAAATAGCACTGAAATTTAAAAAAGGAAAACTAGATAAGCTATGTAAGACTGCTCAGTATCTTGTGATATTAATTTCAAAACCATTCTCTCAAGAAAAAAAGAAAATCTTCTGGGGTTAAGTTCACATTTTCCTTCTCTCACCTCTACCCGCCTTTTGAAGCTCAGGTGACTGGATAGTGTCTGTGTCTATAGGACAGGAAGGTCCCCAAACCTATGTTTGAGACAGCTTAGTCTGACGTTTAAAGTAATTTTCTGGGCCTTTCTCTGAAAAAACTTTCAAGGTGGTTAAAAAAAAAATTGTTTCATTGGTAGGTAGCATTTCATCCATATAATAAACATATTAGATTGGAAGAGGATGTCCTAGTGTAAGCTGTGAATTTGCATCGAATTACAGTTCTGAACACCTTTATGAGAACTTTTCATCACTTCTAACTGCTACAGATTAGAAATTAAGGTATGAGGGCAGCCAGATTTGAACACAACATTTTAGTGAATAAATAAACATGACTTAAAACAATTTTTTAAGAAGTTATATTATACAGGTAACCTTCAAGATCTAAAGAAATACTACAGTGTAAAAATATGAGGGATGTTTGCTACACAGAAGGAAATGTGTGCTTAACTTTTTTATTTTCTGAGAAAGAACACATTTAGGTACTGGGCTAGTTCCTACTGAATATCAAAA